GGGGGGGAGGGGAGTTATGTTTCTGCCAGCAATAGATTTATATATCTCTTAGGTATATTCTTTTATCAAACCAAATGTATTGGTTGTAGATTTCTGGTGCAGAGCCCTATGAAGTGTAGTGTTCAACTCTAACCACTGTTGAAATATTACAAAGTCAGTGCCAAGTTTTGTACTGTATTACTTTTCTCTCCAGAGTAATTTCTTGAATTGTTTTTGTTATGTTATTATTTTCGTTCATAAGGCAGTGGTAGTAACTTTGCATTAGCTGATTATTTATATAACCAACGGTAAGGTTAATTTTTTGCCTATCGGTGAAAGGTTAAGTAGGCGGTTAGACATAACAATTGTAATTTTTGAAAAAAGTAGCATTTGAAGTAAGGTTGAAAAATGATATTTGAAATTTGAAATTATGTTTAGGTATGCATTTCACTTGAAAAAATAATTAAATTTTTTGAAAAAGTGGTCCAAATTATTTTTTGGTTTTTGAATAACTCATTTTCGTTTTTTTTCAAAAAGAACTTGTAAAATTTTATGGACAAGCATATTTTTAGAAGAATTTTTTTTATGGACAGACGGGTCCTAAATCTTTGCATACGGAGTGGTGACTTCTAGTTTTGCGGTTGCTTATCTTTTCTACTATTTGAGTTACTGTTGAATTTGTATTTATTTAGCAGACTTTTAAGAACATATCAAGTTGTTCTTATATTGCAGAAAAAATTGATCAAATTAATTTTATCAATTACCACTTATTAAATTGTTAAAGAATCCAGTTTTCTAATGAATATTTAGCCCTTAATTAACTGCAGAAAATAAGCTTATTAAACATGTCTAACATCAAAGTGAGCATTATATTTTTGTAGCTATCGTTTAAAATTTCCATGGAAAGACTTGTACATTGATTACTATCTATCACTCATTTGGAATTGTCCCTTTCTTTTCTTTCTTCACAAAAAAGATGCTATAAATGTGATGTAGAAATAGGAAGGAACAAGTAGCCCCCCAGACTTGTGCATTGACTTGAGCTATATATGGTCTCTTCAACAATTACTAATGACAAAGAAAAAGTTTGTCCCTTGTAGCTTTCGTTTGAAATTTCCATGGAAAGACTTGTGCATTGACTTGAACTAAACATTGGGTTATTTATTTCTTATTTTAGTAATTAGATAAATATTGTTACCCTAATGATGAAGTTAAAAAATTCAAGAATTTCACTTTTTCTTAATATTAAACCAATTACGTATTTGTCTATTTGAAAAAAAAAACCGGCCCTAGATATGATTCTTGTGAATTGAGCTTCAACATTTTTTTTTAATTCTCTTATGGGAGGTTTGTAAGGAGGAAACTATTTTGGATTTGGAATTTGATGTATCAAGGAAAGACTTCAAAGTAAACGATAGAAGACCACACATACATGTTTTGATTTATTTTTTGAATTTTCTTGGAAACGATCCTTTTGCAAAGATTTTCGGTTAATTGTGACTCAAGTGACCAGATTCGTCCAGTTAAGGACGAGAGAAACCGGACCCATAACAAGTTGCCTACTTGACACAAGGTCAAGTATACACCACAAAATTGAGGATAGGCCTTTTTATCCTCATTATATTTGGTAGAAGTTTTGGAATATGGCTTAGTCCTTTTATAAATTTGTTTATATTTATTTCTATTGTGATAAAATCCATCTATATTGTGGATTACCAACAAAGGAGAAAAAGTAATTTAAAAATTAGAAAATTACTGCATTATCCTAAAAGGGATGACAACTTCCGGGGCAAAGTCGAACATCAAATTCACAAGTCTTTGAAATAAAAACTGAATATTCTACTATAAAAATAAAATATTTTCTGCAATCAGAAAAAGAATTATGTACATTTAGAAAAACTTACACATACTTGATATTTACATTCAGATCATACGTATGTATCATAGTTAAGTGTGATAAATTAATCTAACAACACATATTGTATTAAGTTAATCATGCTTAAGTGATCCTTGGAGACATTATTAGCTGGGAATCAAAAACTAATTTATAATAACCACACAAAATTGAAAAAACTTATCTAAACCGAAAAAAGAAAAAACAACAACAACGACAGTATACAACTGCACTTTATCTTAAGTTAAAAAATGCTCACTTATTCTCATAATATCAATCAAACAGTAACAGCAACTTATCCTCCTATATATTTGTGCATAGGCTTTTTCTTAAATTCAGCAACCAACTTTTGAACTCCTTTTATGCAAGCATGGGCTACAAGCAACTCTCAGTTGTGCTTTTAGTTGTCTTTCTCTATCATGAACTTGCTTTTTCTTCATCCACATTACCTCAATTGTGCAACAAAGATCAAAGTATTTCCCTTCTAAAATTCAAGCAGATGTTTACTGTAGATCCCTCTGCTTCTCATTTCTGTAGTGACTATGGTCAGAACTCTTATCCGAAAACAAGTACATGGAATATGAGCAGAGATTGTTGTTTATGGGATGGCGTGACATGCGATGAGTTCACTGGCCATGTCATTGAACTTGATCTCAGTTGCAGCCAACTTAAAGGGATTATTGATTCTAACAGCAGCCTATTCCAGCTCTCTCATCTCCAAAGGCTTGACCTTTCTTCTACTTACTTCTTTCCTTCGGAAATCTCACCTCTATTTGGCAGGTTTTCGAGCTTGACTCATCTCGATCTTTCTTACTCATATTTCACAGGTGAAATTCCTTCTGAAATCTCTCATCTTTCCAAGTTACAGTCTCTTTATTTATTAGGCAATGCGCTCAGTCTTGGACCTCACAATTTCAAATTGCTTCTTCAGAATTTGACCCAATTAAGAGAGCTTGATCTTAGTGAAGTAAGCATCTCTTCCACCATTCCTCTAAATATCTCTTATCATATAACAACTCTGACGCTTGCGTATACAGGATTGCATGGGGCATTACCTGAGAGTATTTATCACTTGCCAAACTTGGAAATTCTTGATTTAGATTCCAATTTTCAGCTCAGTGGTTATTTTCCAAAGACCAAATGGAACAGCAGTGCATCTCTCAAGGTGTTATTTCTCTCTGAAGTGAATTTTTCTGGTGATTTTCTTCCCGAATCTCTTGTCTATCTAACTTCCTTGCTGGGACTGAATCTTAATTTTTGCAATCTCTCGGGGCTGATTCCGGAATCTCTTTGGAATCTCACTCGTATAGAGTATATGGACCTTCGATATAACGATTTTGGAGGACCAATTCCTCTATTTATAAGTGGACTGCAGAATCTGGAGGAACTTTGGCTATCAAATAACAACCTGAATGGAGAAATACCATCCTGGATATACACACTTCCATCACTAACTAAACTAGGATTGAGGGATAACCACTTTTCTGGTCAACTTGAGGATTTCAAGTCCAATTCACTAATCAACATTTCATTAGGAGGCAATCAGTTGCAAGGCCATCTTCCCAAGTCAATTCAAAACCTTGTGAATCTAACAATTTAAGTGGCAATGTAGACGTCAGCTTCTTTTCAAACCTCAAACAACTTGACTCGTTGGATTTTTCGTATTTCGATGACCAATGAGAACAAAGTCAAGTCTACCTTGCCCGAATCTCTTACATACTTATACTTGTCCGGTTGTGAAGTAAAAGAACTGGATTTTTTGAGATCAGCAAAGAATCTTAGCTCCTTGGATCTTTCATATAACAAGATTCAAGGAACAATTCCTGATTGGGCATGGTCCAATTGGATGCACTCACTGAATACTCTTAATCTATCCCACAACATGTTGACAAGTATTGACTATATTTCATCATTATTTCAACTAGATACTCTAGATTTGCGATCCAATTTTCTTCAAGGATCGCTACCTATTCTACCTTCCTCTCTAAGTAATCTTTTCATATCAAATAATAGTCTCAGTGGGAAGATCCCTTCTTCTTTTTGCAATTTGACATCATTAACAGTTCTTGATTTGGCAAGAAACAATCTGAAAGGAGCAATTCCACACTGTTTGGGTAACCTGAGTGACTACCTCGAGGTTTTGGATATGCAACACAATAGTCTTTCTGGGAATCTCCAAACAACTTTTAGAGTTGGAAGTAGACTGACAAGCTTCAACTTGCATGGCAATAAGCTAGAGGGAAAAATCACAAAATCCTTAGCCAATTGCAAAGAGTTGGAAGTTCTTGACTTAGGAAACAATAACCTAAATGACACATTCCCTACGTGGTTGGGGACTCTTCCAAAACTACAAGTTTTAAGCTTGAGATCCAATAAATTGCATGGACCCATCAGAGCTTCAAGGGCTAAAAACTTGTTTCCTCATCTTCAGATATTGGATCTCTCTTGCAATGCATTTACAACAGAGCTACCAACAAGTCTCTTTCATCATTTGAAAGCCATGATGAGAATTGATCAAACAATGGAGCCACCAAGTGATAATAGATATTATGAAGACTCGGTAACTGTGGTAACAAAGGGATTGGAGCTTGAAGTAGTGAGAATCTTGTATTTGTACACCACTATGGATCTTTGAAACAATAAATTTGAAGGACAAATTCCAAGTATTATGGGAGATCTCATTGCACTTCGTGTGTTGAACTTATCTCATAATGGATTGCAAGGTCATATACCGAAATTACTTGGAAATTTATCTGTAGTTGAATCATTGGACCTTTCATTTAACCAGCTTTCAGGAGAGATACCACAACAACTTGATTCTGTTACGTCTCTTACATTCTTAAATCTCTCCCACAATCATCTCCAAGGATGTATTCCTGAAGGACCTCAATTCCATACCTTTGATAATAACTCATATGAAGGTAATGATGGATTGCGTGGATTCCCAGTTTCGGAAGGTTGTGGAAGTAGCAGGATGCCCAAGACAAACAACACAACATGCGTTTTGGATGAAGAAAGCACTTCTCAGTTTCTCAATGATTTTTGGAAAGCTACTCTTATGGGATATGGAAGTGGACTAATTATTGGATTATCCATTGCATATATCATGCTTTGAGCTCGAAATCCCAATTGGCTTTCTTTGATTGTTGAAGAACTAGAACACAAAATCACCATGAGAAGGCGAAAGAAGCAGCGAGGCCAAAGGCATTACAGAAGAAGAAATAATGGTGTCTAGACAAGTTCCAGTCGTCCAATATGTAATTTCAGGTACATATTCATATTAAGCTCTATATCTGATATTTTTTCTTAGTTTATATTAAGTGATATTTCAGGGGGTCACGGGTTCGAGCCATGAAAACTAGATCTTGCAGAAATGTAGGGTAAGACTGTGTACAATAGACTCTTGTGGTCCGGCCCTTCCCCGACCCTGCTCATAGCGAGAACTTAGTGAACCAGACTGCCCTTTTTTATATTGTATGTCTTCATTTGAATATATCTTGCTTTATTAGCTTGGTAAGTGTATCTTTATTATGGCTGTCCAACGGGCCGGGACGAGACAAAATTAACGGGCCAGGACGGGACGAAACGACATTTAGCCAGGACGGTGGCGGGACGAGACGAAACGGGACGGGACAAACGGGACGAAACGGTAGGCCCATCCCGTCCCACTAACAAACGG